GAACGACTATATCATGGAGATTTGTAAAACAATTATTGACAGCAACATCCTCAAATTAGTTTGAAATTATTGCAATCTATGAAGCAAACCGATAATGTGTATGGTTGAGGAACATGACCAATCATATCCAAACATCGTGCGGGATTAATTTCAACAAAAGATAGTCCAATAATTTTGTATGAAGATAATGTTGCTTGTATTGCACAACTCCAAGGAGGTTATATCAAAAGCGACGTGACGAAACATATTTCTCCAAAATTCTTTCATACACGCGAGTTTCGTTCAAGTGACAATTTTGGCTGATTTATTTACAAAAGCTTTGCCAACATCTACATTCAAGAAATTGGTTCACGGGATTGGAATGCGTCGACTCAAAGATTTTCAGTGATCAACATCAGGGGGAGTAGCTGTACTCTTTTTCCTTCTCTTAGGTTTTATCCCACTAGGTTTTCCTAGCGAGGTTTTAACGAGGCAACATTTATCTTTAATACTCCAAAATAACTGTACTATTTTTCCTTCGTTTTGATTTTTTTTGGTCCCATTGGGTTTTTATCATACAAGGTTTTAACGAGGCGAATATTTTGTAATGTATCATTCAAAGGGGAGTGTTGTAAAAGGAAAATAAATTAGGGTTTAATGTGAATGACACTTGTACCCCTGCAACCCTAAATATTATTGCCGTATGTATCCCTATTCATTCCATATAAATATAGAGATTTGGTTCTCATTATAATACACACAAGTTTATTGATTTTTATTCTTTCTTCTCTTTTTCTCTCTTTTTCACACACACACACACACATATATACATTTTTTTAATTTTTATTTTAAATCTATAATCTATAATATATTAAATATCGCATCGAGGGAGAATCATTTTTTGGACGATTATAATCTTGCTACAATTCAATTATTTCAATAATATCTTACTTTTATTTTTCAATATGTATTTAATTTCTAGCAATAGGAAACACTATAAGGGTTCGTTTGATTGTAAAGGTGAAAAATTGATGGAAATAAAATGTTTTATAGGGAATTGATTTTCTTAGAAAATGTTTTATTATGAATTGTAATTAATTGTGTTTGATTTGTATAATTTTTCATGGAAAATGCTGAAAATTTGGTATCCATTTGATTTCATTTTTTATGAAATTTGTCCATTAAAATGATAATTTTTTCTACTATTGAGTCTAAATTCGTTCTCATTGTCAAAAAAAAAATTTTGAAAAAAAAAATTTAGCATACCGATTATCATTCGTTTGACTTTATTTTGCATGAAAGTTGTCGTTAAAAGTGAATTTTTTTTTTTTACCATTGTGTCTAGAATTTGTTCTCATTGCACAAAAAAAAAAAAAAGGTGAAAAATGTTTTTTCACATATTAGGTGAGAAAGCATTTTCCACCATTTGTGTATCAAAGGGTTGTACCTAGAAAAAGGGAGGAAAACATTTTCCGTGGAAAATTTCGCACATCAAACGGTCAAAAAAGTGAAAGTAGGAAAATATTTACCTACTTCCCTGAAAAACTCCGGCATTCAAACGGAGCCTAATTACTTCTCAATTAATAAACATTCACGTCCATTTAATTAATATTATATTCAAGAATGTGGTTCGTTATTCATAATTAGCATCCAATTTAAATTAATTGTAATTAATAATCAAATATTACTTTCATGACACTTATAAAGAATTTCAAAACATACAAAAAGTATCACTTTTTTTCCCAAGTCCATATTTTTACTTTCTCCTTCAATTTATTCATCCCAAAAAAAAAAAAAAAAGAAAAAAAAAAAAAAGCTGCGGTCTAAGTCCGACTGGCGTTTAAAACGTCAGATTTGTACTTTCAGTATACGTACGAGGTCAATTAACCGAGGTGTTCCATTTTACTGCTGGTTGCTGAAATTAAATCCAAAGGGGACCTTGGACCATTCGTCTTCTTCTCCACTCTCCAGAAAACCCCACGAAGAGAAAACAAGAATGAGTATCTGCTGAAGTTATTTGTTATCATTTTCATTTGTTTAATTAATTTGGGCAGTGAAGTTGCAGAGTTTCTGGAGATATGGCGTTGCGTGCAAAAGGTTAGTTTTGTGGTGGTGTGTGTACCAATATATGGTAGCGTATGGTATTTCTATGTGGGTTTATTTTGTTTATGCACATGCAGAAACATAAGGCGAGATTTTTTCTTATTTGCCTAAATTTTGATATTTGTTTAATTCAATTTGATTTGTTGAATTTAATTGGTAACTCACCGTTTGGAACAGACAGGATCAGTTTTCCGGTTTAAATCAGTTATTTTAATTTTCAAATTTGTTTTTGACGAAATTGTGAATAGTGAGTTTTCTCTCATAATAATTGTATCTCAAAGAATGCCTACAGCAATGCTATTTTCAGTATGAGAATTGTGATTTTCAGTTTTATGTAGCTTTTGATATTTCTTGTCTCGGGTATCTGTTTATTGTTTTGTATAAGTAGGGGGACTAGATTACTTTAGCCATATCTAAAAATGTTCACTTATTTAAAGGGGGATTTTCTTGAAAAGTTCCTGTTTATAAGTATAAGCTTGCGATAAATAAAATTTGATCATTGAATACGGAGAATGATTATTATGATCTTGTTGTCTGTTGACATTCTTGAAATCAAAAGAAAAGTAAAACATTAGAAGATATGTTTTTCGGTCATATTGGAAACAAGAGATAAATTTTCAATGATACTTTAACGGATAAGTTTAACAAAAAAAATTAGAAGATCAAATTACGATGACTTGGTCCTATGCATCTATAGTTATACCGACAATTGTCCATGCAATGGCTCCTTTCCATGTGTCAATTTGAGTAAGTGAACTTCCATTTCAATCTTTTTGACTAGCATCTGCCCGAAGCAGTGAATAAAAGTTGTTTTTAATCTTAAAATATTATGTAGATAGGTAGTACTTATGATTCATTAAGTGGAGACAAACTTGTGCTAATTAGGAAAAAAGGCACAATAATACCTTTCAGTTCAACATTTATCTCCATATGTAAACGACCAGGCTCGGTATTTCGAATTTGTTGGCACTCCTACTAGGATATGTCTAAGAGATTTTCAGTTGGTAAGATTGGCAACTTGAGGAAATTATACCTTGTCAAGTTCAGTTTTTTATTGGAGCTAATAGATGTAAAAACATGCCCAAAAGGTGAAATTCCTTTCTTCTAAACAAAATTCACGAGTTTACAGATATCCCAAAGGGTTATCGCGTTTAGACAATTGCTTTTTTTATCTAGCCAAGTGCTAAGCTACAGATTTTTTGACGTTTTGCATTTCATAGTTACAAGAGATCTTACTGCTTTTGTGCTATGTCTTTAGTTTTGCAAAAGAAAGCAGAGAAGTTTGAGTTGAAGAAATTACAGGGTCCTACAGTGACAAAGGAACGTGTATCTGCTCTTGAGCCACTTCTTCAAGATGTTTATGCCATTCGGCGCCCTAAAAAGAGTGATTATGAATCTCGAAGAGACTTAATTCTAGTGTTTAATGAAATTGCAAAGGAATTATATGGTAATACTTCATGCTGAATTTACTTACACTACCTCAACTGTTGAAAGGAGTTCCCTTTCTCATATTTACTTCTTGTTTTAATTTACTAATAATTGTGGATCTTAATTCACAATGCTTTGCTTTTTATTTTATCGAGATGATTATTTCATTGAACCGAGAAAGCTGCCTATCTTATGGAACACATTCTTATCATGGTGGCTGTTTGATCCTTTTCTTTTCAGGATATTCAAAAGTGACTCCCGTTGTGGTGGAATTTGGTTCTTTCTTAATGGATCTCTTTAGCACAACAAGTGATTTGGATCTCTCTGTGAATTTTAGTGCTAATGCGATTGAATTTCCGCGCGAAAAGAAGATTCAAACGCTGAGGAAGTTTGCGAAGAAACTATATGCTCTACAAAGTAAAATTTTAGATTGTATTTTTTTCCTGGTTTGTGTTGATTCATATTTCATTTCATGGTTTCTATGAATATATTGAATTTGTTCATTTCTTAACTGGAAATTTCTGAAGGTAATTTAGGCTTCAGAAATCAAAGGTATATTTATCTTCTAGACAAATGTATGTGTAGTTGACCATTTCTAATAGTTAGGTGGCATTTTTAGTTACAAAGCCATGGAAAGAGCACTTGGAAAAAATAAGTGAAGAGAATGAGATGAATTGAGAATATATTAGTTCTCTCTAATTATTACAATCTTATGGGTCTTATTTATAATACAAGAAAACCAAATATAAGGTAAGTTTCTAAACAAGGGAAAATGAAATCTTCCTAATCTAAATAAGGCATATAATCAAATATACAATTTTACACAATTAATCCCATAATATACGGTATTTCTACACTCCCCCTCTAGTTGGATCATAGATGCTGATCATATCCAACTTGCCAATGAGATTCTCAAAAGGTGGTTGAGAAAGTTCTTTGGTGAAAATATCTGCAACATGTTCTTTTGTAGGGACATAGGTCATGCATATTATCCCGTCTTCAAACATTTCTTTGATGAAGTGCCTGTCGACTTCTACATGTTTGGTTCGATCATGTTGGACTGGATTTCGAAAAATGTTGATTGCCGCCTTGTTGTCACAGTAAAGTTTGATTGGAGATTTTACCATAGCTTGTAATTCTTCCAGTAGTTTCTTTATCCACATACCTTCGCATATTCCTTGAGCAACTACTCTAAATTCAGCTTCAGCACTACTTCTAGCCATCGCGTTTTGCTTCTTACTTTTCCATGTTATCAAGTTTACCCAAACAAATGTGCAATAAGTAGTAGTTGATCTCCTATCCTTTATTGATCTAGCCCAATCTGCATCATTAAAGATTTCTACTTCTTTGCTCTCATTTTTTTGAATTAGAGTCCCCTTCCAGGTGTACCTTTGAGATATTTGAGAATTTTGTATACTGCTTCTAGGTGAGCTTTCTTTGGAGAATGCATATATTGACTTACCATACTTACTGTGAATGCTATGTCAAGTCTTGTGTGAGAGATAGATTAGTTTGCCAATCAGTCTCTGGTATTTGTCCTTTTCAACTGAGCTTCTAGTGTCTTTTACTTTTCTTCCTACCTCGACAGGTGTATCACTTGGTTTACATTCAAGCATGCCAGTTTCAGTTACAAGATCAATGATATATTTTCGGTGTGAAATACTGATGTCCTTCTTTGATTTGGTCACTTCCATTCCCAAGAAGTATCGCATTTGTCCCAAATCTTTTACCTTAAAATCTGTAGCTAGGCTTTTCTTAAGCCTTTCTATTTCCACTATATTATCTCCTGTCAGTATTATGTCATCAACATATACTATTAGGATTGTTTTCGTCCCCTTTTCAGATAGATGATAGAATATAGTATGGTTTGACTGTGCTTGTTGATATCCTTGATTTCTCAGTACTCTTGCAAATTTGTCGAACCATGCTCTTGGTGACTGTTTGAGACCGTAAAAGGATTTTTTGAGTTTGCATAACTTATTTTCTTCATCCCTCCTAGAGAAATCTGGAAATAAGGTCATGAAGACTTCTTCTTCTAATTCTCCATTTAAGAATGCATTCTTAATGTCAAGCTGTTGGAGATGCCAATCCAAATTTGCTGCTACAGACAAGATAACCCGAATTGTATTCAATTTTGCTACAGGGGCAAATGTTTCTGTATAGTCAATGCCATATGTCTGTGTATAACCTTTTGCAACGAGACGAGGTTTGAAATGTTCTACTGTTCCATCAGCCTTGTACTTCACACTAAAAACCCATTTGCAGCCAACAGGTCTTTTCCCCTTGGTAACTCTACCACATCCCATGTGTTATTTTTCTCCAGTGCTTGCATTTCTTCTAAAACAGCGTCCTTCCATTTGGGAATAGTCATGGCTTCCTGAATGTTCTTCGGAATTTCTGTACTATCAATATTAGAAGAAAAAGTGCGAAACCCCGTAGACAGAGTATTATAGGATACAAATTTAGAGATAGGGTGGAGAGTACATGATCGAGGTGGTTTTCTGAGAGCAATAGGTAGATCAATTCTTGAAGACTCGATTTCAACGGGAGGAGTCTCATAAGGATTTGGACCTGTCATTGGTTGTAACTCTTTTGGTGATTCGGGTGTGAGGTTCTCCTTGTACATTGATTTTGGCTTTCGTGAATAAACTAATCTAAACGAGGCATATAATCAAATATACAATTTTACACAATTAATCCCATAATATACGGTATTTCTACAATAAGCTAAGCATAGTGAAATTTAGATCCATGATATATGTATCCGTGACAAGTTTACTAGGGAAAGGAGTTGAAGGTCATGGTTTTAACAACAGCTTTATGATTATCATCTGAAGACAATGAATTTTAAATAAGGTTCCAAGGATGTTTCTTTAGATTAACTGATTGACCTTAGAATGAGGAGTTGTGGATCTTACTTTCCCATGGAATTTCTGTGTATATTATTTAGTCCATTATAATTCTGTAATTTTTTTTTTTTTTACTTTCCTATGGAATTTCTGTGTATATTATCCTTTCTACACACAACAATAAACGTAAGATGAAAGAATAAATTTGGAAATTTAGTAATTACGATAAGAAGATAATTGGGGGATCTGTAACAATTCTTGGAGAACGTGGGTGGTTATGCTTGCTATTACTTCAGGTGAAGTTTTTCTCATGCATTTTGTGAGAAATGGTGCTTTACTGACTCTTCAGAATTCTGTGGGTTCGTTTACAAGATAGCTCCTGATTTCTTAAATTCTTCTTCTTCACAATTCTATGCTAAGTTTTCCAGATCCTCTTTGTCTCTCGTTGTATTTTAGTTTTCCAATTTTTCTAATCTTTTCCTATCAAAAGATATGATGGAAAGAGAGTAGTCTTGAGAAGCAGTTCCTTCAAGCAGTAACTTATGTTCTATTTGGTTAAGCTCCCTGGATTAGTATATGGTGTTCCCTAAAATTTTAGATTTACACTATGTTTGACACCCATTTTATGGGAATGAGAATTTTTGGAATAGTGATTGATGGGAGAATGTGTGGTGAAAAAGTAATGAAAAGTTTTAGATTTGTGTGTAATATTATTTTATTGGAAGAATGTGTGGTTGAAATGAAAAAAGAGAAAAAAATGAGAATGAGAAT